GAAGATCGCGCAAGTCCTCCACATTGTGTGCTGTCTGTACTGAGACTGTGCGCCGGCGCGAATGTTATAAACTTAAATACCTCTCCGCACCCCTCAGGAGGCTGTACGTCGATAAAAAAACTCACCGAAATCATGTACTTTCTCAGTGGTCTGGAAGTAAAAGTGAAGTCCAGGTTTCATAATACTTGGTTACGTGAAAGCCTGAGAATTAAAGCGGTCACTGCGAAGATCGTGAACTTGAAACCTGAAGGTGTATTGTATTATGGGATAGATTTAAGGTCATTTTTATATCCATTTTAATAACTTTACTTTGTTGTTAATAATTTATATGTCAAATTACTTACTTATCAACAAACATTTAGCACTTTTTTTATCTTACGAATATTATGAATGCAAAAGTTTGGGTGAATGGATGGTATTTGTGAGAGTTTGTAGCCTAAACGGCTGAACGAATCTCGATGAAAATTGAAAGAGATGTAGAGCATTGTCTGGAAGACCACATTAGCTGCTTTGTTTTTTTTTTAATTCCATGCAGTCGTAGTCGCCAGCGAAAGCTGAAGAAGAAGAAGCATGAAGAAATTAACAGTATTGGCAGTCTTCCAATTATTTAAATATTTAGATCGATCTTACAGATTTGTTATTACGGCCGTTGGCCTAATCTATCTTTATGTTACGGTTTACGACATTAGTAAGATAGAGTTCATACTGATGGCCTCAATTACCATTTACTTAACTTATATGATTATATTCTGTATAAATAAATTGAATGATGACTGGCTGAAGTCATAAGCTATCAACTGTATAGACATAGACCGTTCAATTTGAGATCCGTAAGATATCTTCTGTTATACTTAAACTGATTTTTTTTTATCATTTGAATTATAAAAACGTGCACACACCTGAAATTACACTATCGCACAACTGTTTAGTCCCGCTTTGATTCCTATGAGCTTACATGAAGGTGCACACACTACTCGATTTTTTTATTGTGCAACTAAACAGTTTGAATTGGCTGCAAAACAATCGATTACTTCTAACAGTTGTGCGATAGTTTAGTCAAAGGTGTGCTCCCGCTCTAAATAATGAAACATTTTTAACAAATATGCCAGTACATGTAAAATGGTTACAAAATAATTCACACCCGTAACCAAAGTGTGTACACAGGGATGATGGATTTCATTTGGAAAATCGACATTAAAACGATCAATATTAGTGTTTGTGTTTTTTTTTCCATTGTTTTAATGTGTAATAATTAGTTTTTAGAAAATCCAGTGACTTTATTCCCGTTTACAACAAAAACTGGTGGTTTAATAACTCACTTGGTGTAGAAATCCGCACAGAACCCGTTTTCAAAGTCAAGTAATGCTATGAAAGTTTGCAGTACATTATAGCAACGTTTTACACTTATCATGGATCGAAACATTACTCTCGAACTGATAAGTAACTATCTTAATCTATACTATTATAATAAAGCGTAAACACACACTTCTTTGTTGCCCAAGATGTCAGCAATTACAGCATATTTATGAATAATTCTTTCTTTAATTAAAAGCCCTACACTTACGTCACGCTTTAGGATATATATTTTCACGCCATAAAACTTAGGAACGAGTATTTTGGATAAGAACCCTAATGTGGGAAAGAGACCATAAATTGCTGCTAACATCAAGGAAGCAAGATTGCCATAGTAAGATAATTGGTATTTTAATATTTGAAATTAAGGATTTGACAAATGTAAACAATAAAATAATGTTTTTATAATTCCACGCATAAAGCCACACGGGAACAGCTAGTAATATTATAAATGCGAAAGTGTAGATGAATGTTTGTTAGAGATTGTAGCCGAAACTAAAGGGATATCGATGTAATTTGCTTTAGATGTAAATGATAGTCTTAAAAGACAGGTTACTTACTTTTTTATTTTTTACTTCCACTCCGACGCAATCGCGAGCGAATTATTAAAAAAGCTTTGTCAAAATATATGAATGAAGGGAATTTTTATAAGTGGTTTAATTTTTTTGATGATCATAATTGAAATCAAAACTGTAGTATAGATGAAAATTAACAACATGTTAGATGGGGAATATACATTCCAGTAGCAGTCACCTCCATGCAAGTTGACATATGCTATAGGAAAGCGTAAATAACTGGCATTCCACTAGCACGTTATTACGTAGTATTATACAATACTAGGTAACTCGCTCTATAAATTGTCATAATGAACAAAAATAGAAAAAGAGTGGTCACGAAGTGTGTCACTAGAGTATCAAACAAAACACCACAGAGTGAAGGCCGCAGTTTTGTTAGGTCTTGTTTTATAGTGGCATAACCTTATCTTGCTAATATAAATACCAATGTTTGGAATGATGGTTTGTTTGTTTGTTTAGTCTAAATTAAGTAACGGATCTTGATACAATTTAACACACATGTTGAATATAGTCTGGAAGAACACAGGTTACTTACTAAGTGACCCATTCTTTTTCCACTCTTCTCTTAAGAGGAAAGGATGGGAAGGAAAAGCGGATTTGATGCATAGGAAGGGGAAATGTCCTCTTTATGTGCATCTCCAACTCCTTCAATCCTCCTTGGCATCTGCAATTGCGAATGTTTATGAGCAGCGGTTTCTTACTATTTCGATGGATTCAGTTGGCTTCTTGCTCGTTTGGCACCTCATATTATAAAAAAGTTTTTTTTATTCCGCACGCGCTAAGTCGATGGCTGAAGCTAGTGTAGATTAAAATTAAAAAGAGACAATCCACGTCAAATAGGTAAGTGTTTTCATCCATTTTATTTTAATCATCATTTATCATAACAATAAGACTCATTTTTTAATTTGATTCTGGGAATTTACATGTAGAACGTTAGATGCATTCTTTCAGCCTACTTTTTTAGAATGTATAATCTTCAAAATATTGAGAGAGCGTAAACTCTGAAGTAAAAGTTTGTATTCGTCACGCACAGTGAATGCTTACCGGATATATTATTGCATATTAAAATGATTACTGACTTGGGTTGTTGCAGATAAAAGTCATCTATACATATAATAAAATTGGAGTGTTTGTAATATCATAAGAAAAATTCCAGATTACAGAGGATCGACAGAGTAAACTATTACTCTTTCATCGCACACATCTTTTCCTAAACTATGGCGATTGTCAATTGTCGATTATTTCGCAACCAATTCATCTGTTTAGTTGCACATCTAAATATCGAGAAGTGTGCGCACCTCCAAATTTATAGCAATAACAGCAAGACGAAACAGTTGTGCGATAGTTTACTTTCAGATGTACGGTCTTAACGGATATCTTTCACACAATTTAACCGAAAGTTTCTGTCTTTGTAACCATTCACGGTGTACCACGACCACACAGAAAACAGGCGTGAAGTGGAAGCGATTCCGCGTTTCGTCTGATAAGTGTGGTGCCGGAGGCCTAATTTTAGTCCCTTTCATTTTCCATCCTTTTCTTAAGAGGAAAAGATGGGAAGGAAAAGTGGATTTGACGGTGGAGTTTGACGGATGTGCGTCTTCTCCCCCGTAAATT